ATTATTTTTGCGGCTGTTGCGTATGCGAATAAATTGAATCTACTCTGGCAGAGGAGCGGAAGGGGGAGAGGGGGGTAGAACCATTAGCAGCAGCAGCAGCATTATTTGAAATTGAAAATGTTTGAGTGGGAAACCCGATTTAATTAGCGGAAAAACGCCAAAGTTATGCGGAAGATTCACATCTGTCAAATGAATTTTAGGAGAAGATGCCCCGCAGAGAAGATACCCTGCAAGAGGTATTACTAAAATGAATTTAATGATAAGATACCCTGCAATCGGTGTAGCAAATGGTCAATATAACACCTGATATTGATGATGTGCTACTTCTTACCCCCTTAAACTTGGAAAATTCAGTATTAGATCATTTTTTGGCACAATCATTCAATATGCAGCTTCCAAATATGACAAGACTAATGTTGCTATGCATTAAACATTTCCTGTACGATCCTCTACTAGAGTATCCAAAAAACAAACAACTGGCAGCTCAAATTTATAGACATAAAAAGAAAAGAAAATAACATGTGAACAGCTTATAATATAATGAAACGTGCATATACCAAATTTTCATTCTACTAGCCCATTTTCCGTTTTACCTATTTGCAGAAAATGTATTTTTTTTTAGCAGGAAAGAAACTTGGCAAAGTTTATAGCTTGGCATTCAAATTTGCAAGCATAAATATTTACAAACTTCTTTCTTATACAGCTATAGCTATATATATATATATATATATAGATAATAACATTTGCCATGTAGCGTCCATCAAAGAGTTTTCCGTGAGCACTTTTGCTGAGGAAATTCCACATTCACTTTAATAGAGGATGCTCATCATTATCTAAACTCTCTATAGATGAACCAGTTGTAGTCCAGCTAAGACTCGGCTCGACATTAAACTAAATAGAACACCGTAACATATACGTAGTATTCACAATAGATTGCTCCGCGCGTGTGTGTGTGTGTGTGTGTGTGTGTGTCTGTCGTTCCAATTAAAATACAACTCATCTCCTGTGCTGCATTGCAAATGATCTTACATAAGGCCACAGCGAGGGCAACCTCATATATATACATTTACATATATCTATTGATCGATCGATCTGTATATATATATATATAGATAGATATATAATCGACGATCTATCGATCTGTGTGCGCCTTGTGCTGGGCATTTTTCCCTGCTTTTCATTTAATCGATTTGCGTATTTCGAGCAGCTGTAATTGCAGGGTGTGCGGCTGCAGTCGGGCAACTTTCATTGCGAGGCCGTCTAAAGTAACCCCACTTCCCCCTCCAGGCCCCACTCCTCCCACTGCTCCGTTCTTCCACCTGAATGTGGATTAAGTGTATGCCAAGGCATTAAGGCAACGTTGCGCTGCGCTCTATTGGGATCTTTCGGATCTTTTGCCGCGTAGCCGCGAGTGATTTGTTTTTTAGATTTTCAAAGTGATTGCGGTTATCCCAGTCGGAAACGCAGTCATCGTCATCGTCATTGCGCTGCTTACAAAACAGCAACACAACAGCACAACAGCACAAAAAAAGAAAAAAAAAAACATAAAAAACAACAACGACAGCAAATTGAAAACGAAGAAAGAGAAAAAATCAGCGCACATTCCCAAGTACACAAAATGTGTAACGCAATCAAATCCATCGCTTCCGGTTTAAGGCGCAATTAACTGACTTCGGATTACGTACGCCAGTGGGCACATCCACCCAGCACCACTCTTCTCCCCTCACCCCGCCTCATCTCACCTTAGCTCAGATCTTGTCTTGCACTCTTTCTATATATATATATATATATATATATATGTGTCTCTCTCGTCATGGCCATCAGTTCGCAGATTATCCACCGCATTTCACTTATTTCTTTCATTTCATTTTATTTTTTCCCCGCTCGTAATTGGCATTTTGAATGTTGTAAACAAATTTTGTTCGATAGTTAAATTGATGAAATGTCATAATTTCGGTGCGTGTGAGCTTTTCAGGGGCCAATCGCTTAGAAAGTTGCTCGATTTTCACAATTGGCCATGAAATCTAATAGAGCCAAAACTAAAAATACTTTGTGAAAATCACTGTGTTATCTTAACCCGAAGTTTTAGTTGATTATGCAATTAGGAAAAATGTTTTAAGCGTCGCTTGCTGCAGTGCGGCCAGTGAAACGTTTGAGAATGACGCACAAAGAAGAATTCGCAAAATATTGTGCTCTCAAGAGCTTGCTCTCGCTCTCTTTTTCTTACAGAGATAGACGTAGATAGATTTTGTTTAATCTGCCTTTCTTCTTTTTCTTGGCTTTTATTTCTTTGTATGGATCTGGCATGGATCTCTTCTTTAGAAAGTTTATTCACTTACTTTTTTTTTCTCTCTCTCTCCCGCTCTCTCTCTCTCTCTCTTTTCTAATTATATATAATATTTTGTGAGCACATAAATAATAACTATCTCTAACTATCTCCATTTCTCTCTCTTCCCCTCTCGCTCTCTGTCTCTCTCTTCCTCTCTCTCTCTCTGTATCACTCTTCCTTTCATTCTACTTGAAAATTAACTTATGTAGGACATTACATTCAAAGGCAAGACCTTGACCTACTGTGCTTCTTACTCCACTTTTAATCCGATTAAAACTTGTTTAATTTTTCTGGAAATTCGCATAAGGAAGTCGCATTAAAGTTAAGTTTAGGCACATCTTGCAAATAGCTTATATCCAATTCGAAATATCCATTCTAAATGAGACACATACAAATTAATGTCGAGCTAATTAACTTCTTAATGATGTGCCCTGCCAGCTACCACAGTCCATTTGGTCCATTCGGCCCAACCTGTCTGGGCAAGCCACTCACTCCACTCACTCCACTCCACTCACTACACTCACTCCACTCATTCACTCGCTAACCTCCAAGATCGTAAAATTAATGATATGTTTTCGTAGCGCTTCTTCTACGCCCATCTGCCACTTCTGCCACCGCATGGCCAACACAATTCAAGACAGCCATCAACTTCTATTTAAAATTAAATTAACCTGCTTAATTTGCCACCCCACCCCTTACCCCTGCCCCCTCTTCCCACTCTCTTCACACACCTCAGCACGCTGAGACGCGCCCAAAACATTCACTCGCCGCAGATGAAAATCGAAAGGCGCTGCGAATCGGCCCAATGCCTATATAGGAGGCAAACTATATCCACGCACAGTTGTGTCTGCATCTGTTGGATATGTCTAAACTGCGGCACGTTCGAAAATTTCGTGCATTTAACGCACCGTTTGGACACGGCTCTTTTATCTGCGGCTCTGTCTCTGGCTCTGGCTCTGGCTCTGGCTCCGACTCTTTGTGGATTCAAGTCGGAATGCCGACCCTTTCACCCTTCACCATGAAGGCTGCTGCGATGGCCAGCTGGCTGCCAAATTTAGCAAATTCGATTTGATTTTGATTTTGATTTTGATCGCTCAATTAGCGTAAAAGTAACATGTCAAACCTATTAATCACTTTCGAAAATAAAAGATCAACAGACCAAAAAAACAAAAATATAAAGAAACATTAAAATATTTTGTGAAGACAAAGCGAAGCAAAGCAACTTTAGAAGCGCAGTTTCTTTAAATGCTACAGAAGAGGCAAGAAACCATTTGATGTGCTCCACAACTAATACCCTGTAATCAGCTCTTCTTCTTTTAAGAAGATCTCATGAACTGTTCATTACATTTGTGGGCATACCAAGATCTCTATTAATGAAAAATATTACTTTATACAGGCTGACTGACAGACTGACTGACTGATTGACTGACTGACTGACTGACTGACTGACTGACTGACTGACTGACTGACTGATTGAATGTCTATTTGACTGACCGACTAACTCTTAAGGAAGCTTAATTATCTACAGTAGTTACCCTATGTTAATCCACACTTAGAAGCGGTTTAAAAAAATTCCACCCATAAATGTGGAAGATTGGTGGAAATTAGTTAAGTTATTTGACTAATTACTTGACTGACTAGCCTTTACGAAGCTGTATTGTCTACTCTAGTTACCTGATTATCTGTTAATCCACAATTAGACAGGGTTTACAAAAATTCCACGCACAAGTGTGGAAAATTAGTGGAAAATAATTGTGTGTTGTGTGTTAATGCACTTGGCTGGAAAGTAAAATTTACTTACGATCGGTTTTGAAATCATTTTGAAAACTTTATGTAAAAATTATGAATGCATACTTTTTATAAGAATGATTCAAGTTGATAACCAGTTAATCCAAGCAAAGCCGGGTAATATTCTAATTACTTTTTTACTAAGGACAGCAAATATTTAAAAATTAGTATTTACGTTCCTTTCGCTTAATCTAGTCCACAAAGCAAATTTCCTAACTGTGGCTTTTGAATGCCCCGAGTTAATAGAGTTCATTTAAGCTTCTACAGGTAGCGCCTGCAGGTCTGCTAATCTCTGTCTAAAATACACTCAAAGTCGCCTGTTGCCCTTTCCGAGCCAAAGAAGAGAGCAAGAAATCAAAATAAATATATTAAAATAGCTGCTCGTGCCGTTGGCAAAAAGTGCGTGAATTTAGGCGTAACCCGAAATTATATAATTTATTATTTCTTTTGATTGGCAAAAATTAAAAAGTAACTCGAGCTGAGCGTAAATGTATCTGTATCTGCTGTAACTGTGTATCTGTAACCGCCGCACCTCCCCCCCCTCCCCTTTCCACACGCTCTTATGGACAACTCTATTTGGCTTTTTTAAGTCGAACCGGGGGCCGAAAGCGCTGCGTCATTACTCGAACTTCAATTTCATTCATTCATCAATTACAATGCACAAAAGTCGAACGAACGTTGAAGCCTTGAATCTTGCAGATACATAGATACAGCTCATAACTGTAAATGTGGCCACGTGTGTGTGTCTATGTGTGTGTGTGTGTGTGTGTTAACTGCTTGTGTTTGACATTAAGTTTAATATATGCCGGAGATCCTGGGCTAGCGCTTATTAAATATGAGTACTCATATGTATCTTTGAGATACATTTATGCTAGCTACTTACATGCTTGAAGTTGTGTGTAGCTGTTGCTGTTGTTGTTGTTGTTGTTGTTGTTGTTGTTGCAGCATCAATTTAGCTAGCCTCTTCGAGCTTAATTGTACAACGCTGTCAGGTTGCAGTTGCCGCAGTTGCAGTCGTTGCAGCTATAAAATCCGCACGGATATCCGTTGGCCGGCAGGAAGAAATCAACATTTGAGCACCGTTGGCGATTGCAGCGCTTTACGGATGTTGATAACCTGCATTGGCATTGGCTATAGCTATATAGAGTTGATCTAGCTAAAGTTGTTGTTGTTGTTGTTGTTGTTGCTGCTGCTGTCATTCTGCATAGGTGCAACTGCAACAAGCGGCACAGCCGACGGCGCGTGTGAAAAGTTGTTCACAGTTTATGAATATAAAATATTTATTTTGAATTTAATTTATTTTTGTTTTTAAATTTATTTTAGGCAGTTTAATAGAATTGTTTATTTTATTTATTTATTTATACATTTATTTTGTTTGCTATTTAAATTTCTTTTATTTACTTTGTGATAGTTAGGAGCTGTTGAGTTGTTTTGTGGTAGGATACGCAGCAAGCACTTGTCATTTGTTTAGCAAGGTTATTTTTTTTTTATAAAAATTAAGCTTATGGTTTATGAAATTTAAAAGTTATTTAATCTATTCATTTAGAGCTATAGGCAGTTATTTAAGGTGAATTCAGAAGCGATTTAATTTTTGTTTTTCTATCTTTTATACACTTTGTACAAACTTAAGACTCGAGTGCGTTGTTGTTGTTGTGTGTTGCTTTAATTAGCTGATTTATGGGTTCGGTTAGCTAGTTAATATTACAATACTAATTAACTGTAATTGTCGTATTATTCTCGCTGCACGCGTTGACACCAATCCTAACCGAGCACTTCCCAGTTTCGCTTAATCGCTTTGCTCTGGCTTATATATACACACACGCGCGCACACACATGTATATATGGCTTATATATAGTGTGCATTTCTTGGCTATAATCTATGTTTATTATATTTTATAATTTCAATATGGATTGTCTGCTTAATGCCTGCCCATAATCATCATCAGCCTGTACACATGTGGTTCGAGTTGTTGTTGTAGCTTTTCCGCAGCTTAACTCACTTTGCATTTGCATCTGTCACAATTTGCATTAATTGCATTTAAGTATGCAGTTATCATTGATTTAGCACCGATATTCACTTATATATAGTTCATATATCTGTTACAGCTACTGGGCGCGTCCAAGAGTAAACCATTTTATTTTTTAACGATTTTTTGCATTCAAGATTTCTTTTTGTGTCATAATTTGTGCCAGATTTATGGGGATCTTAAGTCGAGCGTTAGGAAGCAGTAAATTTTAATTAATTAGTAAATTAGGAATGTAAAAGTTGTCAGAAATGTTTTGTTTTTAATGCCTTTTATAATTATTTCATAAATTATATGGAATTATTTTTTGTAAATTTTTTTTAGAAACGTTTTACTTTGAATTGAAATTTGCACTTATTTTCATTACTTTTCAACACTGGCTAATAATAATCCTTAAGCCAACACTTCACTTGCTATGCGCATTAGCGGTACATTTCGATATAATGTACCGTTATCTTTGAAGTGTTACGCGCGCGCGCACATCGCGTTACGTTATCCAGTGTTGCCTTACGTAGTTGGTCGATCGCCTCGTCTGGGTTATCGTCTGCTGTGGGGCTGTTGCCTGTGTGTGGTTTGTTGTTGTGTGGTGCTGGTGCTGGTGCTGCGACCGACAAGCGACAACACGACCAATAGCTTTGAGACCGTCTCACGGACTGATGATAGGCGGTTAGCGCGCAGCTTCACAGTCAGAGTCAAAGGCAGAAGCAGAAGCAGAAGCAGAGGCAGAGTCGTAGTCGAAGTCGAAGTCGAAGCGTCGTCAGTGGCTGCTCCAGTGCAAAGCGTTTTCGATTTCCTAATAATAAACGCAAAATAGTTATACGGGCCGCAGCAACAGCAACGTCTTCTGTCTATGTATGGGTGCTCTGAATGAATACGAAACGACCCGCGAACCGCGAGACGAGCACAGCAGAGCAGAGAGAGACGACGACGACGACGATGAGTTCCACAACAAAGCTGTGCTGAGCAGCGCAGCGCAGCGCTCAGCATTTCGAGGAAGTCCAGAGACGATGCAATAAATCGAAGCTAATACACTTCTTTCTTAATGTAGAGCACACACCATAGTTCGAGCCGATCCACAAAGCCAGCACACACACACACACACACACACACACACACACACACGTACACACACACGCACGAATAGAGCAACTGCAACGCGACTTCGAGTTCGAGCTCGGCTTGCCTAGACAAGTTTGTGCGGCTGGCAGCGACGCCGACAGAGACATAACAACAAACGGTAAATGAGGCAGTCGCGTGCATCCTGCACAGCTGCGCCAAACTGTTTTTTTACTCAATGAAAATACGCCGTCGCTGCGCAGTCGCCGCCGTCGCTGAACAGCATTCCAATTGCATCCGAAACTGGGTGGAGATCTTCCGCCCCAGCACGAGTCGCTGCGCCACGTTCGGCGCACGAAGCACAAAGCACGAAGGCACGAAGCGCACAGCCGAAGCTCTTGATGTTCCACACTTGCGTTCCACATGCAAGACGCGAAAGAGAACAGCAACAGCAACAGCAAGCGCAACAGCAACAACAACAAAAAGCTAACAAAAGTGAGCGCGTTGCGGCTGGGCGTCTAGTCGCAGCGTGCAGCTCACGGCGACAACAACAACAAAGGGGGAGCTGTTGCTGCTGCTGGCCAGTTGGCCAGTTGGCCATGTCCAAGCGGGGCAAGTCCAGGGCTCGTAATTAAGCGGCAGCTTAAGATAAGTCTTAACTGACTGACATGGAGAATGGAAAGTTCAACAACGTCTTTCACCAACCAACAGCAACTGTTGCTGATGGCGATTAACATACGATGTGTGCTGCAAATGGGAGAAGGGTTTCTGTTGCACAGGCTTACCTGACGAGTGTCCTACTTCTAATGCCTGACTGCCTGCCTGCCTGCCTGCCTGCATCTGCCTGCCTGTTCCTGGCCATGTTCAAGACCATGTCATGTGCTTGCCACCAAAAGCACTTTATGTCTGCGGTTGGTTGCCGTCTTCTTCTACCTCTTCTGTCTCTTCTTCTTCTTCATCTGCTGTTGCACGAAATCGATCAAATCAAAAATGACTTTGCGAAGTGACTAACTGCCAAGCTGGCTGCTGCCTGCTGCCTGCTGCCTGGTGCCTCCATCTAGCCTGCTGCCTGTTGCATGCAACATGCTGTCTAACAGTAGCGGTCGCCTCTCTGATTATATTTTGCTCGGTTCGCTGCTTGTTTGGATTTTTGAATGAGTTGGAAGTCCAAGTCCAAGTCCAAGTCCAAGTCCATGGCCGATGCCGATGCCGAGGCCAAGCTGCAAATGCAACACTTCAAAATGAAAGCACATTCCCTTGTAGAAATTGTACCGTTAGCTGCAACAGCAACAGGTACCCCCAGTGGCTGCTGCTGATCGTTTGTCCGTTTTTTATGGCCAAGCAACCAAAACTGACAGACTCCCCATTCCCATTCCCATTCCCATTCCCGTTCCCGAACGATGCGATCCTCCAGCATCATCCGACACTTGGCAGCTTATGGCTCAGATTTGCAAATCGCGGCTCCTCTATTATTGTAGCTGTTTGTTGTGGCAGCAGCAACTGTTGCTGCCGCTGCTGTTGTTATTGTTGCTGATGATCTCTACCTCCCTTCCTCCTTCCACTCTGTTAGCCGCGTGCCTCTTATTTATTTGAGTCAATGAGTTCACAACTATTTTTTTTTTTGTTCGCTCTGCCAACTTAATGGCTGCCCTCTTCGTGTGGCATGCGGCATGTGGCAGGGAAGCGTCTTGTTGCCTTGCACTGATTGATGGCCTGATAATGTTTAAGTGGCAAGCTGCTGATATGTGCAATGAGTTGCAACACCTCACCACCCCCCGCCGCAGCTGAGGGTTGGGAGATTTATCGCCTGCCTCTTTAATGAGTCTAACTATAATTAACATTTTTGCGCTCAAATTCCAATTTGTTATTAACTAATTGCTCTTTAAATTAGCTTCCCAATTGCGAGGTGTCAATTGGGCCAGGTGCTTAAATATAATTTAATTGTTTTCTTAGGTTGAAGTAAAAACTAAATAATTAAAATAAAATTGTTCGAATGTTTGCCATCAAATATTGTTATTTGTTTATATTATTAAATATCTGTATTAAGCAATTTAAGTTTTATTTTATAAACTATTAAATATTTGCATTCTCAAATTATTATAATTATTTATATTTTTCAAGTTAAGTTCCATTTTTAACATACTAATTATAAGATTTTGAAGTTTTTGTATATATAATAAGAAAAACTTTTATCTGAAGTCTTCAAGCATTATTTAAACATATTTTAAGTTTTTACAAATTGTTAAACAAATTTCTTATTCTTCAAAGTTTTGCAATAAAATTTCTTGGTCTCCACAAAAGGTTGAAATACTTTCTGAGTCTTAAAAGAATGATCATACGTCTTGTTTTTTTTTTTTAGTTTAAGTAAAGCTGATCAGTTTTTTCATTGAACTAAAAGGAGCTGACATTTTATGAGCAGTAAATTATATTAACTACGATTTGCATTGCAAGTTCCCAATTTTGCAGCCTTTCTAATTCTAAAAGCTCAAGATCGAGGTCGTGTCTATATAAATCATGCTTAGCTATGCTCGGATATAAATTTCCTGAATTTCTAAAACGAATAAAAACTTACAAATATCTAACGAATATTTGAGCAAAGTACATAAAAATTAGCATAAACGAGTCTTGCTTTGCCATATACTAAATTGATGTGTTCAATATAATTAGCCAGGCGCACAGCAACAACAGCAACAACAACAACAACAACAACAACAACAACAACAACGTGAGCTTAAACAGCTTAAAAAACGTTTAGTTTATGACTTAAAGCCTTTTACTAAATGGCCAATAACAACAACAATAATGGCAAACATGCAAATAAAATAAAATTTGATAAATTTATGCACAAAATAGAAAACAAAACTGAGCGCAGCAACAACAGCAACAGCAACAGCAACAGCCACAGCAATGGCCGGCAACAACAGTAATAAAAACAACAACAACAACAACAACGACTGCGACAACGCTTAGTCGCTTTAACGCCTCTGCTGCCCGCGCGCCCCTTCCTAAAGCAACGGCAGCTGCTGCACATAATTGGCTCAAAAACGAAACAAAACAAAAACAAAACATAAAGAAAGAAGAAGAAAACAATAATAAAAAGCTCGTAAAGTTGTTGTTGTTGTTGGGTTTTGTGTGTGCGCAGAAGACCCGCCCGCCAATTGCTGTTGTTGTTGTTGTTGTTGCTTGTTATTTAAACGTTTTCAAATCGCGCAGCGAATGAAAACGAAAGAAAAAATGAAATACAT